AGCAGTGGGCACAGCTCGGGCTCCAGCGTAGAGCTTGGTGGGGCCATGGCACTGGCTGTCCCTCCCAGGCTGCCTCGTGGGGTGTCTGCATGCAAATGGCAGTGCTAAAAAAACACTGTTTTCTTCTAAATTCACCTAGTTCCCTGTTTACGATATTTTGTTGGGAAGAAATAACTGATTTGAGCATTCAGGCTGCAAACAAAGAAGTAGAGGTGGGCTTGTCCCCAGCCAGGGCTGCCAGGGCAAGGTGGCATCACAGCTCTGCTGTGGGACTTTGCTTGTAGACGTCTTGAAGGTGTTTCTTGCAGGATAAGGTGCAAGGCTGAGCCTCTGGTATGTGCAGTGTGGGCAGCAGTCCTGGGGCTGCAAAGGGGCATTGACTCTGCAGCCAGTGAGAACAAGGAGACAATGTCTGTTGTGGTATGCTCTTGGAGAAACTGCTTCCATTGGCACATAAAAGCCATGGTGTTTCTTTAGGATGGAGGAGCTATTTGCTTCTTCTTCACATGGAATGTGGTGGCAACAATGGCTCAGTTAAGTACAGAGGGTGTGTGAGCACTGGCAATGAACCCACAGTCATGGGAAAAGCCAAGCTCCCCCAGCCCTGGTCCTTTGTGGAAGAACCTCTTTGGTGGTCTTTGATGGTCACCTCCATCTGTTATCTCTGTATTGGTAGAGGGAAGCATTCACCACCTCTCCTGGTGGTGATGAGCTCCCCCTCCTTTTAAGTTATTTATGGCACCAGCAGAAAGGTGAACCTGCAAGTTGGTTACGTGCAGTCCTGTGGGGCTGTAGGACACCTGCTGTGTGGTGTCCATGTGCCCAGGGCAAGGAAGCTGCCAGCAAAACGCCTGTGAACCCCTGTCCCCATTTTTCCAGGGCTGTCAGGAAGAGATCCTGGGAAGGAGGGAGAGGTAACACTGGGAGAAGAAAATCTCTGAAATGCAGTAGTGCTGGTTCAGCTCTCTCTTTAGGACCACTTCGTTTTAGTGTATTTCTTTATTTGAATTGATTAGAGCTCACGGAAGGTTCCCCACAGGAGCTGCTGTAGGTGATTAGCACCGAGCAACTCGCCCACCTTGTGCTACTGGTGCTTCGTGGTGTTCTTCACCAGTGACTCACAGACACTGTTTATGATTGAGTACCTTCTCAGGGAAAATGTAATTGATTTGAATGGTTCCTGGCAATCAGCAGCTGTCTGGTGTGTCTGGTGCTGCCTTGTATTTCCCCCAGGTAAGTGGAATGCCTCTCCTGTCAAAATTGCTGTTGTTGTGTAACCAAAAAGCAAAAAAGAAGGCAAGCTTGGTGATACCATCTCTTGGTCTGAGTAACTGCTGGCAGCTTCTTTACAGAGTCACTTCAGGATGTTTCTCTGATTGCTTGGGCAATGGAGAGGTCTCCAGGGGGTGAGAGAGCGTTCCCTGCCCCCCTGCCTGCATTTGTAGTCACCCCCACCTCAGATTTGGCTTATCTTCCACCTGAGATTATTCTTGGGGAGAAAACATTACTCCCAAAGCCATAAAAAGTGTCAGAGAAGGGTGTAGCAGAGTATGGTGCTTCTTGTCCAGTGTCTTCACTGATAAGCACCTGCTTGTGCTCCCTGTGGCTGCACCTCTGGGTAACTCGTGCCCTGTGCGCAGTGTTTCCCATGTGCCTGGGGAGCCATGTGCAGTTTGGGATCACAGACAGCAAAACAGAGACTTTCTGATGGTGCCTGGAATGACTGGTGAATGATGGTTTGCTCTTTGTTGCCAGAGCGTTGGACACAGCCCATTAAACCCTGTGTGTAATCCAAAAAGTTGAATTGTTTCTGGAGATCTAGCAGCATTCCAGGTCTCGGATCCAAATTGTCTGTTACACTCACAATAACAGCAATAAACTCTGAGATGTTTTTTAAAGCTTCCCAGTCATGTTCTCCTCAAGAAGGTCTCTGCACTTCGAGGTATCACAGCCCTTGCATTTGTCTTTATGATTGCAGCTGCCACTGGGAACTGCTGCACTTCGGGTAGTTTCCCCTGGGTTACACTGCCAGCAGATCTTCTGGAAATGTGGAATAGTGTTGGGATGAGAGTAGGATCAAATTGCTACTTAACAAGATTTATCCATCAGTGTTTCTCAGTCTTTTCTGTGTATGTTTGTGAATATGATACATTAATGTAATGTGTTATAAAATATAGCCTGATTATATATAATTAAATGGATAAGGTTATTTCTCTCTTGTGGCTCTGGGTGTTGCCATGACAGGCAAACCAAGAGTGCATCCTGTGCAAAAATAAACAAGGATGCTGTGCTGTGTGCCTGGCTGCTCAAGTGATTGCCATTTAACACCGTATTTCTGGTTTGAAAATTAAATGTTAGCCAAAAGTAATACTGAAACACTATTACATCTGACAGTCGCAGATGTCCATCTACATTCTTTTCCAAAGCTTAAAATTTTATAGCTCTCTGGAAAAGGCCACTGTTCTGATGTGTTACCAAATTAAGAGATCGATTTACTGTCTTGATGATGTTCCCTCCAGACAAGAGATTGACCAGGTGAAATGTTAATGCAGCCAGTACTGGGGACAGAGAGGAGACTGGTTTATGCAGGGGATGACGCAGACCCAAACACTGTCCCCAGTGAACAGCAAGGGCTAATACTGGAGTTAGAGTCTTCGGCACCTCATCTTCACTGTGTTCTGTTCTGTAATTAGCTGATGTGTTTAGTGAAGCTGTTGGCAGTGGTTTTAGCTGTGTCCCCATGTAAGACTTTGTACCACCTGTATTTTGAATGTCACAGCAGGTTCTTCTCAAAGTTCCTTGAGGGGGCCCAGGAGCAGCTTTGCATGGGACTAAGCTGAGCTTCTGGCTGGGGCAGAGACTGGGGGATCTTTACATGGTGTGACATCACACCACCCCAGTGGGGAGGGCAGGATACCCAGCCTCTCTGCTTTTCTGGGTAATAAAATGGGCATAATGGGGTAATTAGCACCAAGCACAGGGAGAGCCTTCAGTGCGGGCTGGGCTGCAGGGAGGGAAGGAGGGCTCTGATGGAAAGGGCACCATCCCTGGCCCTGCCCATGCCTGGGCAGCCCAAGCAGTTCCTGTGAAACCACAACTCCACGTGCCCAGATCAGCCACCAGCGCGGGAGGAGGCGCAGGGTGAAGGATGCAGGAGCACCTGGATGTGTTTCGTTTCGAGGTGGGAGGGGTATTAACAAAAGCCTTTCTGCTGCCATCTGAAACAAGGTGCCTCTGGGTCTCTGTGGTTCTGCAGCAGGGGAGAGGCTGGTGTGGAGCCACGAAATTGCCGCTTGCATCAGGCCGAGCGTGAGCGCGGAGCGGCTGTAAATGTGATTTATGAATCCTGGCTGCTCCTCTCCCACTCTGGCTATTAAACTGTCTCTCTCTCCCCGTTAATTGGACTTTGTGACTGGGAGAGCTATAACACAGGTCTGCGCAGTGAGGAGCACGTCCCTGCTATTCTTGTTAAATGAAAAGATGAAACAAGCCTGAGAAACTTTCATGTGAGGAACAGTGGGGGTTTTGCCAAGTGCTGCCTGAGCTCAGGGAGGTGGAGCAGGAGTTTTTGGGTCCAGGAGTGCTGGTTTCCTTCACTGCTCAAGAGATCTATGCCATTTCCTAGTATACAATAATGGCAAAGTTGTGTCTACCATTAATTGTTTTTCTTGCAGTTCTTGGAGTCTCAGACTCCTCCCTCCTAAGACCTTCAAAATCAGCAGTGTGCTTTTTTAAAATGTAGCTGTTGATTGACTTTTGTCCATTGTGGGCTGCTAAATTTAGCCTGTGGGCCTCGTGCTGCTCAGAGAGCTGTCAGAGGGAGCAGCTTTTAGTAGCTTTGTCTCCCCATTGCCTCTGCTCCCCCTCTCTGCCTGCCTCGGTGGAGATGCAGGCAACAAGGGGATTCATGGCTGCAGACCTGGAGAAATGCTGGTGTTTCTGCTCCATCAAAAGGCCACATCATGCTGCTGTCACCTCAGCATGCTGCTGTCACCACAGCGTGCTGCCGTGTCCTGCTCCAGCACAGGGCTGAACTGCAAAGCTGGTTATGACAAGTTGGAGCATGTAAGATACCAGGAATTGAAGCTTTTTAGTAAAATTGTTTTATAATGACATTCCAGGTGCATTTAAAAATGCAATTTTCTTATTAGCTGAGGCTGGTTTTAGTCATGGAGTTCATAATTTAAATAGCATATATATTTATATCTTATTAGAGACCAAAAAAAGGGAAGGAAAACCTTGAAGTTTATTTTCAAGTGTGCTGTGGGAAATCATTGCATAAAATGCAATTCATAAATCAATACTTTATCTTGCTTGATTTATACATTTCATTATATTCCCCCCATAGAATTTGCTATTGAAAAGCAATTTGAAAGCAGGAGTGTGATGAAGCAGGCAGTGGCTGTGCTGGGTATGTGGAACAGAGCCCAGGGTGCCCCTGGCACTGGTTTTGGCCTCCTATGCTGAGGATCCTGCCCCAGAGAAGCTCAGTTTAGCACCTAGAGCAAAGGACTCACAAATAGGTTCCAGGAGCTGGGACAAGCACATGTAGCATGTGTGGTGGTGAAATGTTTAGTTGTGGTAAGAGGTGCACCATGAATAGCCCAAATTAGCCCCTCCAGGCCAACCACAGGGCTGCTGAGATGCAGGGAGGGCAGGAAGGGTGCTGGCAGTGAGGTGAGGGATCTGTGTGAGGGTCTGGGGAGCCACTGTCCCCCAAACTCCCATGGAAGGTCTGGGAAACAGCTGCTTTGGAGATGGGGAGGGCTGTGGGCAGGCATGTGTGGGGTGAAGAGGAACGGTGCTGCATGCAGACAGTGTGGCTTGGGCTGCTTCTCTTCCAATAGCCCGCAAGCCCACAGAATGTGTGAGAGAGCTCAGCAGAGCTCTCCAGGAAGGGCTGCCCTAGCACTCCTTGCTCCATCCATCCGTTTCACAGCATGTGCCCAGCTCTGCATGGCCAGACCCAGACCAGGGCTGAGCTGGGACCTGTGGCATGTGTGGGGCTTTGCACAGCAGCTCCTCGCTGCTTCCAGCGGGGACACAGACCTGCCGAGCCGGGGCACTCTCCCCAGCCCTGGCTGGGCAACAAACACCCTCCAGAACTCAGCAGAGTGCCAAGTTACTGGGATTCTTTGCATCTTGCAACATGTGTCTTGGGTGACAAATAGAGAAGAGGAGTGCAGACGGCGTGGGAACGTGGGATTTAGGAAACCGGACCCAAAATGTTGCCTGCTTGAATGCGTGTCTTGCTTAGACGCTGCTCTGCAGAGCGGTGCAGACCAGGCAGGTAGGCAGCTGTTCTGCTGCGAGGGGTGATGCCAAAGAACAACTTGTTTATTATTTTTAACAGATATTTAACACGGTGCCAGAGACTCCGCCGTCGAACTCGCAGCTGCTGCTATCTCG